TTGCCTTGTTTTTTTTAAAAAATCTCTTTTCCTGTTGCACAGTCAACTCTGGAAATAGATAAAGGAGAAAAGAAGGCACATCTTCACAGTGCTTGTTTGCCCTCCTTGTTTTCTTTCCTCCTCCTTTGTTTGGGGCAATATTATTAAATGAAAGGTGCAGAATTGTGACTAGTTTCTTCCTCAGATTACCTGTATTAAAAGTGCTGGAGTATTTGGGAAGCCAGCAGCTCATGATGCTCAGCTTTAATCTGACAACTGAGCGGATGTCCTGGTCAATGCAGAGTGTTTACATCAAGGTTTGTGGAGAGTACTGTGCACAGTAACAACAATGACTAGGAGTGGGAATCCTGCCCTAAAGACAACTGTAATTTTGTTGAAGAAACAGAAATGCACCTGCTCAAACACTCACTTACAAAATTGAGAAACAGTTACAAAACAGCATATTAGAAAGTACCAACCCGATACAGAAAGACAGGTGATCATGCTGTATGGAGTTAATCAGAGAATACTTTCACTTCTTATTTTTCCATAAATCTGAAAGGAAGAAAACATAATAATTGATAAACTTTATTATTATTATTTTTATTTCTATAGATTTAGGGATATAGGTGTTTTTTATTACATGGATGAATTGTATAATGGTGAAGTCATGGCTTTTAGTGTACCCGTGACCAGAATAGTGTGCATTGTACCTAATAAGTAAATTTTGATCCCTCACCCCCATCCTCCCCTTTTCTTAGTTTCCAGTGTCCACTATACCACCTCATGACCATATAACCCATCATTTAGCTCCCACTTATAAGTGAGAACATGTGGTATTTGTTTTTCCATTCCTGAGGTACTTCACTTAGGATAATGGTCTCTAGTTCCAGTCCATGGGGTACATGGGTATTACACACACACCTCCCATGTCTTCTTTATCCATGCATTAATTTATGGGCACTCTGGTTGATTCCATATCTTTGCAATTGTGAATTGTGCTACAATGAACATTCAGGTACAGGTGTCTTTTTGATACAATGATTTCTTTTCCTTCAGGTAGATACCCAGTAGTACGATTGCTGGATCCAATGATAGATGTACTTTTAGTTCTTTGAGGAATCTCCGTACTGTTTTCCATAGAGGCTGTACTAATTTACATTCCCACCAACAGTGTATAAGTATTTCTTTTCCACCACATCCATGCCA